CTATCGTTATAAGTATTCCAACCGACTACTCAATTTTTCCCATGAGGTGTAGTTTCCTCATAGTTATATATGTATACGATGGATGACAAATATGTCAAAACGTCACGTAGTTGAATGCTGTGTTCCCTCATATTCATTCTGTACATCAGCGAACTATATGGACTAGTCTTGCAGTTCCATATCAGATAATTTTAGCTGAAAAAACAAATAGTGACGCGGTGTTAATAACTAGATGACGTTTCGAGCGCAATTCACTGAACGTGATCACATCAATTTCGTCATATGGCCTCATAATTTGTCTGGTACATATATCCCTTCCTCTTGATGTCTCTTATATTTTTCCACAAATCCGGTGTTGACGTTGCGTCATACCGATTCTACGTGTTTGGTGTTGACTGAATCAACGACGATTATATGAACAAAGATTCGATGATTAACTTCCCTCTCCATCTGTGTTACTCTCTATCTCTTCACTCTATTTCACACTATTGTGTGGTTACATGCAGTGCAGTGAGCCAGTGTTTTCTAGGTTATTTAAATTGGCAGGGCCGATTATTCTGGATCTAGCCAAGTTACATTCTACCACATTGCCCAGGCCTTACACTTCCATTAATAACTTTGTAGTTTTCTACTTGGGTGAAGTTATGAAGAACAGGTTGTTTTGTCATGTCCCACCATACCATATCTGTAGGATGCTTATGTAAACTGTGGGGAAAATGTTGACTCTGACAATCCCCCAGTACTTTTACTGCAGCACACCCTTCGATAAAATTCACTCTAGAAGGGGAAGCAAACCAGCCCTCCCCATTCCTGAATATACTACTCACCAGAAGACAAGACCATCCAATGTAGACACCAGTGCACTGAAAGCCATTCGAATAGTTTGTTAACTTCCAGACCTTCGTTCAACTGCTCAGAAAGCAGAGCTGCTTTTTATGTTCAGAGACTCGAAAAAGTCTGTCAAGATAGGGTAGGGACTGAAATAAAATATGCACTCAGTGCACTGTCAGAAAATGGATACCCACATAGATTTATTGACAGAAACACCGGAGGGACATGTCCATCGCTGAAAGTTGCGCCAAGTCCTAAGGAAGCTCTCCCCATGAACCTATAGTTTAAGGTAAATTTGAACCAGAAATTCTTAGAAACCGTTCCCCGAAGTGCCCGAAGAAGGCATCTAAAACAGCTTCCTTGACAATCAGGTTCACCGTCAGACAGCTAATCCAGCCATGACTCAAGGATAATATACCACTTTTGGCCACATCAGTGTGAATTTGCCAATTCAACTGTTCGGTCGACCAAAGCACAACGGTCATATTCAGCCTTAAGTCCATAGACGTATTTGGGAACACCGTTCAAACTGGTTAACCAGAGGAGGAGACAGAAATACCAGTAGTTCTATCCTCAAACACCTTGCTAACTCTGTTCACCAAGCACCCCAGCATAATTCCTTTACAGTGCCCTACGGAGCTCACCAGTAGCGCAAGTAGAAACTTCGAATATGCCTTTTACACATGGTCGAATCACTGACCACTTGAGACCTGAGGACGGATATCCGCGTTACAATGTATTGAACACACTCATCCGCCACCCTATAATCAGAATAATATTCCTACTATAATTTCTTTTCGTGTTATTTTTAGACTATAATTATTACTTTATGATTATTACTATCGCTATTGGAATTTATTATCACCATTGCATTTCTCACACGTATTTACACGAGTACTTTGTCGCTTTTTCGTTAGCTGTTATCATTTTGTGCACTTAAACCGGTTAGTCATATTTGATACTCATCAGGTGGCTCCAGTCACCTTTATTTTCCCACTCTCTACCTAGTGGTCTCATTCTAGATGACACTTGTCACTAAGTAATACACTTTTTAGAAGTTTGTTGGTAGTATTTGACTAGTTTCACGAGTACTTTGCTTAATATGAGTACGGTTGTGCTGCCTGCGGCTCCGCTGAAAAGAAAGTTTCCGTGCTGTTATATCTTCTTTTGCTTGTAAGTCAATATGGATATTTTCAGCTGAAGTGTGTCAGACATATTTTCTTGTGAACAGATGCGCCACAGAGCTAACTGAGCTCCCATACGAGCAAGACATGCAGATGGGAAGTTGAACCTTAAGCATCGATCATTGCGTCAAAGAATTATTTGAATAATGTCTAAATAATATAGTTTCATCTACTTAATAATGGCCGATTTTACGCTTACTACATACTAATGATTTGGAGGGAGCTGCAGTCAGATCTTAGAAATCCTACAGATCAGTCAAAAGAATCCGTCCTTTGCATTAATACAGCGAAGTCAGTATCCGTATATACCAGCCACTTAAATACCCGCGTCGATGACAAATAAGGAAAACTACTTCCTACATTTCCCGTGCACGTAGTAGTAGCTATTAGAATGAGTTATGATCGAAAGGCCAAAGCCCTCTGTGACATATGTAAATAAATAAGAACAAGTTATCGCAATTTCCAAAAGCCATGGGCTCATTCAATGCGGGATAATTTCAGTCGTTTGACATACGGGACCGGAACTCGCTGAGCGGTCAGATCGTCTCCGAGCGTTACATGACCTAGGTGAGGTGTAATTTCACATTTAACGAAAAGTTGAGGGCTAGGAGACCTTTGCCTTATTAAATAATTTTTTGAAAATTTTGGTTGTAATTTGGATTTAATTTTGAGAGATTATGTATGGTCTCAGGGATTCTCATTTTCACCATTTTTGTGTAACTTTATGGTAAATGTATTAATAGGTGTGACTGTAATCGACTTCAGCTAATCAACCGATGAATCTCCTAAAATCTGTAAGGTGTATCTTATGAATTCATAGTGTTGGCCAAATGGGGTTAAGAGAATAGCCGTACTTTGATCATTTATGTACCTGTCCGAAAACACAACATAAATCCATGGTGTGAGACTCCTAAGATGTGCGTAATTGGGCCTGTTGTCCACCCGAGCTAAGGGTTCTGATGTTACATGCTCTACTACTTAGTTAGCAGGATCATTTTGAGACTCAGTAATGTCATTTCAGTTGTGGTCGTTAACGGTCAGTTATGAGAAGGCGAGGGATGCACATTTAGAATAGTATTAAGTGGAAGAAAAGCGAAATGAAGTTGAGTGATAATCAGGAATGCTTTATGTGCAAGATCTCAGCGACGTTTTGCTAGATATGACCAAGTGGTTCCCTTTAGTACCTATGCATCTGATATAATAATAAAGTAATTAAAATATTGCCACTCGTTTAGCAAAAAAACGGATAATAGAGTGCTGACAGTAATAATTGACGGCCTGCAACTAGACACTCTGTCTCAATTTCAGCGGAAATGTCATCTTTAACAGAAGGCATTCGAACAGAATATTTCTGTCATATATTATTATTATTATTATTCCCTTGCGTTACGGGTGGAGCGTAGAGCTTCGGAAAGACACCTCCACTTTGTCCTTTTCAGCTGGGTTCACGATTGCCCATAATCTATCATCTCTTCCTCACACGATCTTCTACATGTCACACCGACCACCCACTCGTCGCTTCCCATTTGGATGTCATTCGACGGCCTCCTCAATGTGTACCCGATCCATCCCCATTTTCTCCTACATATCTGTTGACAGATCGGCTCTTGGTTGATTTGTTTCCACAGTTTCTTGCTACTTATTCTTTCTGACCGGCTGGCCATTTGATCTTCAGTATGGAGCCAGCGAAGGTGGCAGCTGTTGATAAAAGTCTGCAGTGGCCTTTTGGAAATCCTTTCACCGGCCAAGTTTCTGACCCGTATAGAAGAACTGACCGACTTTACATTTGTGTTGAAAGTGCGAAACTTGTTGTTTATGCTGGCTGAGTGCAGAAGATTTCCAAACTGGTTTCAGGTTGATGAAGGCGTATGAATCTTGTCTTTCAGATTCGGACTGGCTGGCTGTCTTTGACATCATCCGTTCCGCTGTCTGTAGTTGAAACGATGCTGGCTTCCTAGATAAGTGAAGGCAGCAAGTAACCTCTGTTAAATCTCTACCTTTGATGGTGATTGATGCTGGTTGTTGTTGTTTCTGTTTTTGTAGGTCGGTTATCTTCGTCACCTCCGTCTTCCCTATGTTCACCTGGAGTCCTGTCTTTTCTGCCTCTTCAACCACCTTGTCGCTTTTCTCCCATAAGTGCTCGAATTTTTGTGACATACCATTTGCGAAATCCAGATCTTCTAGAGTCTTCTCATCAGTGGTGCAGTGTATTCCTGTCTCCTCGCTCCCAAGCACAGTCTGACGCATAATCCGGTCGACCACAATTAAGAATATCATCGTGGGTGATAATAGACAGCCAGCCAGCCTTGTTTCACTCCTGTATTCACTTGGAACGCCTCGCTGAGTGGGTTTCCCGTTGTGAACCACCTGATAGGTGGCATTGTCACATAGCCAACTGTTGAATGAAGTTGATAAAGATTTTGGCACTGCACGCCGTAGTGTTGAAGTAGTTTCCAAATTACTCCTCGGTCAACACTGCCTGGTGAAGGCGTTTTTGATGCTGATGAAATTGAGGTAGAGGTTGAGGTTCGACTGTCACTCTATGCTCTTCACGATGATGATGATGCGTAGAGTTGTAATTCGATCAGCGGTCGGTCGGTCGGTCGGTCGGTTTTCGACATAGAACTTTGCACATATGTGCGGCAGTTCAAGTCGCCACAATCTATGTAGCACGCAAAGCAAGAGAAGGAAGTAGAAGAAATGCATAATATAGACAGTAAACAGAGGTGTGAGACAAAGGAATAGTAATAACGGAGAACAAAAGTTTAATTGGAAATCATAAGTCACAAGGAGTGGATGCATCTGCGCCACTGAGAACGATTTTGAGCCATGTCACCAATTGTTTCCAACCATTGGTTTTTACCATCCCGAGGGCCCCAACCAGGAAGTCTACATCTTCCTACGTGGCTTAGATTAACTGTTGTGGATTTCATTGATTGGTGCCATGTTTTGGTTTGACCGCCGCTAGCTCTTTTCTAGCCTGACCCTATATCAGCTAACATTGCCCGTCGAGGAAGGCGATGACTAGGCATACGTAACACATGTCCTAACCATCTCAGTCGAAGTAATTTCACAGTTTCGTCGATTGATTTCCCCGCCTTACCTAGCACTCGACGCCTAACCTCAATATTGCTCACCTTATTATACCACTTCACGCGGGAGATAGAACGCAGACACCTATGATCGAAGACAGCTAATCTTTTCATGTCTTCTGCTCTCAATGGCCAGGTCTCACAGCCATAAAGGAGGACGGAGCGGACTGTTGAGCAGTACACACGCCCTTTGGTCGATAGTCGGATATCGCGTCTACGCCAGAGACGGCGAAAACTGGCGAATGCGAATCTAGCCCTCTGTATTCGTGCTGAGATTTCGTCGGAGATCAACCCGTTGGGGCTGATGGTACTTCCCAAGTAAGTGAAGCGGTCAACGTGTTCTACCACTTCACTTCCTATTTCTAATCTAGGGGTCGATGAAGTCCAATCCTGCAGCATCATCTTACATTTTATAGGGGCGAATCGCATGCCAAACATGCGGAGATTGTTGCTCAGGGTGTTCAGTAGACTCTGCATTTTGTCAGAGTCCTGTCGATCAGCACATAATTTGCGCTTCTTGAATACAGCCAGCTTGTTCAGGCGGGGTGGCAGAGTTCTGTATGTAGTGGATCTTCCATTCTCTCCAGGATGAGGTGACTGAGTATCTTACTTGGCGTGGACAAGAGCATTATTCCACGCCAGTCAGTTCTTGCACAGGCCTAAGTCGTCCTTCCTCGGCATCTTGACAAGGTAGCCAGCCTTCGTTCCAGTCGGTAGGTACCTTTCCTTCCTTCTTTCCAAACCTTTTGCAATAATGACGTGAGAAGATCTGCGGCAGTCTCTTGGTCCGTTTTCAGTGCATCGAAGGAGGATGGGGCGTTCCGTCTGGTCCTGCTGCCCTCCCGACCAACGTTCAATAGCTTGATTGCATTTAGTATTTCTGCTTTCGTTGGAGGATTGGTGTCGACTCGCAGGAATTTCTGTGAGCGCTGTTGTTGTTGTTGCTGGTGGTGGTGGTGCTATTTCAGGAGAACTTGCATGTGATGCATGATTCGAGAGTCCTTTGAAGTGATCAGCCCGTTGTTTATTTGTTTCTCCTCCTTGGTAATCAGGTTCCCTTGAGCATCTATTATCGGTTTCATCGTCTGGTTATCTGATATAATGTCCTGAAGTTTGTTTTACCTGTGGCCTGCCTGTTCTGCTTCAGTGTCGTTGTGTCGTAGAATTGTCGTTTGTCTTTCTCAGCACTCTTCTTCACTTCTTTAATCAGTGCAGTGTACATTGAACCTAGCTTCTCCTTCTGTTGTGCATGCCTGTATTGAGTCATCTCCTTCACCTTCCTCCTCTCTTCTATTAGCTTCAGGGTAGGTGTCCGTTGAGAGTCATTCCTTGTCCTGTCTCTTCTTTCTTCCTAGAGCAGTTGTGCACGTTTCCTTGACCGCTAGCTTCAGAGAGTTAGTTCCAATGTTCTTCCACACATGTCTCCTCAGCGACGCCACGTAGTGTGTCCAACTTTGCTCTTATATGATCTGTAGTGAGGTCATCCCTTTCGGTTTTGTCCTTCATGTCAAACCCGAATTACAGTGGCCTGTTTCCAGTTGTTTTCATGGATGTTAGCTTCACCTAAAAGGTTCGTTGAACCAGATGATGGTTTGAGTCCACATCTGCTCCCCTCCTCGACTTTGTGTCCAGCAGACTGACTGTGTCTCCACTTTCTTGAGCAACATTGAGCTGAAATCTATCTGGTTTGTGGTGTGTCCGTCAGTCGAAATCCATGTTGCTTTGTGTATATCCTTGTGTTTGTACACGCTGTCTCCGATCACCAAATCATTGAGAGCGCAGTAGTGTGAGAATAATTCTCCCGTCTCATTCATTTGTTCAGGTGAGAGCCTCTCGACCCATGATGAGTTCTCTTCCTGTATTATCTGCTCCCAATTTGACTTGCATTCATATCGCCGATGAGGATTTTGATGTCACCATTTGGAATGTTGTCCATTACTGTTTGTAGTTGTCTGTAGAAATCTTCCTTCTCTTCTTGTTCCGCGTTGATCATAGCACTGTGCGTATTATTGGATGATTGTAACCTTCCTCTCTTCCTTTTGAGTTGAATCTTGCTGTCGCAATGCTACAGGAGGAGATTGGTTTCCATTGGTAACAGTATGATGGCCACTCACTGCCTCAGTGTGCTCGTGGTTGTCGTCGGTATGACCGAACCGGAGTAGATTACTGACTCACCAGTTTACTTTTTTGATAGTCCACAACCATTCCATCTGCTCTCGGAGATACCCATAACTTCTAGGCCATATCTTCGGATCTCTGTGATCACCTGGGCAGCCTTCCCAGTCTCGTACATTGTACAAATATTGTAATTCAAAATGTTTGTTTCTGCTTTCACCGGAGGATAACATATCGACTGGCTGACTGGTCTCTCGAAGGCTTTCTCCAGCCTGCTGTGTCATTTTGCCTCTCCAGTTTCAGCGAAGAATAAAATTGGTATCGGCGTTTCTTGGTTTTTTTAAATATATTTTTTGTGCGTTCAGGTTTCTCTAGAAATTCGATAGCTTTTGCGGTGTAGAGTAGATAGCGCCACGCCCACCCCTCCCATTTTTACTTCGAGCTTTGGACTGGCTAGAAAACTGGCAAGCTAGTTAACTAGGCTAGGTTCTTGTTATATATGTGGCCTTAATGTTCAGAAACACCCCAGTTTCCCTTGTACTTACATTTCAAAAGACCCCCTATTAACAGTTTGCTTACTGTCGATTTCTAAATACATCCGTCAGGTTTCAGTTGCTCTCCAACAGATCTTGATATATCCTGATGCAATAAGGGAAGTGTTGAGGTAGTGAATATACCGTATGCAATTTTCATTCCTTAAAAATAGCTGACGATGGTGATCAGCATAGATGCTTAGAAGCATTCAGTGCATTTCCATTTAGATCCAACATACGTCAGATTAGGCTGTCTGTTCATTTTGGGTATGCTGTAGCCAAGCGGGCAGATCAGAATTATACAGACTTTATCGTCTAAGAAGTATGGGTGTTAAATATATACCTAAAGAAATCTAAGGTAGCAGTAAAATCGTAGATGAAAAAAGTGACCTTAATAACCGAATAATGACTATTTGAGCTCAGGTAGATGTGATAATTTGGATTTTCGGTTTAATTGTATTGTCAGCTCTATACGTAATATGACTTTCATCTCTAGCGATGAATATTTATGAGGAAATTGGGATAAATATTTTTAACTAATAAAATTGTTTGTTAAAATGTATCATCTTTCTCAACCATTTTATGATATTCCTTTGAAGAGCGTGATTCTGTCAGTCAACTTATGCGTTTTATTTATTTTTTTTTCAGCCAATGACAAGATATGTCTAGCTACCGTGGTTGGATACGTGCAGTACCTATAATTGGAACAATGATAGTTTCAGCTTATGGTGTTGCGTTTACCTGGGATTACATATTGAAGAAGAAGCAATTATCCTCAGCAGCACCCGATTTAGATGAAGCCTATGTCCTTCAATTTTATAAAGGAGTTTCCGAGTCTACTGGAAAAGAGGAATGGAAGAATAAAAGAGTTTACAGACCATGGGAAGATGAAAATAATACTAAATCATAATCTCGTTTGTAAATATGATGAGAAAATTTGGAATGTATTTTCAGATTTTTGTATAGGAATATAGATAATATTTGATTTATTTACCGCTGTTTTGATGTTTTATACTTTGAGGTGGTCACCTTGGTTTATATGTATTTGTAAATTCTTCAGGCTCGAGAACTTGTGAATGATAGAAATATGCGACACATGTAGCCACTGATGAAATCATAAAGTGTACCATACAGTATTTGTCCCCTCTGAGTACGAACCCTTATTTATCACGCAATATTCAACATAACTTACTGAGACTTCTGGGAACTAGTCAAATTCATTGTACCACAAAAAATGCGAGTTTATGTTTATACTTGGGTTATCTTCAGTTTTCGTTTTTGACCTTATACCCTCACATCAGTGGTGTTGTATTAGTCAGTCAATTTGTAGCTGTACTACATGACACGGTTCCCACTAGAGCAATCTTGTGTTTAATTAATGTAAGGCGTTAAACGATGCATGTGAGTACGCGTTTTCCAGGTATGTGTTATACCAGTTTACAACCTGCTAAGTGACCTCACTTATATGCACTCACCATATGGTTAACTTAAAATTCAAATGTGTAAGCTGAGCTCAAGAGTAAGCGAAATCATTTAATTAATGTATACAGATTATGGGGATCGTATTCTGTAACTTTAACAAATGATGGTCTAGTTTTCTGTGAATGCTTACTTCCAGTATTGATGTGTTACTTTGCCCTAACTCTGTTAATATGGTTTTGGTCAGACAGTTAATGTTTACTTCAACTATTACTATTCAGGAGGTAAACAGGATCCCTGTTTTACCTAACTGGGTTCATGCAGTGAGTATCATTCATCTGGTTTATTGATGGTCATTACGATTATCTTCCTAAGAAGATTAGCTTCAGCAAATTTATTGTGCATAGTCCTGTAAATGGAAACCGAGTAAGACTGAAATAAAGGTTGGGGGAATATAATTAAATCCGTGTTTTTCAAAGTACCATGGGAATACAGAAAAGGCATACCGTGACCATCAAGAACTTTATGCTCATGAATGCAGTCTGTATTTTGCGATTCTGTTTTAGAAGGCTAAGGATATACAGATTTAGGCAAGTTGGTTGTCTAAAGGTTGTGACGTTTGTTGCTTACGTGTAATTCAAAGAAGAATAGTGGCTACAAATCCCAGTAAATGGGAGTTATCATAGGTAATTCTGACATTCACAAGAAACCCGCATTTTGTCCACCTAAATTATATTCTAACCAACAGTTTTCAGATATGCTTATAATTCCTTAGGGTGCAAAACATCACCGTACGCTGTAGACTAGTAGTGTCTGTTTTTCGAAAGAGTTGTTACTTTTAAGCTGTCGGCCAACAGTCTTTCGGAGAAAGCTATAACACTTAGGAAAATTGGCAGGGAGCATGGGAACACCACCAATCAGGCAAGTGACTTTACAAACACTTTAAAGTATGAGAAACACCTGTGATATAAATTGAAATGACATAGGTCAGCAAGTAAAGTTGTTTCCCTTAACGTCACAAGCCATAGACATGCCTATAAAGACCAACTAGTAATATCAATTTGTAAAAAACAACACATGAGATAACATATCTGAAAAAATGATGGATAAATTACGAAACTTGGTTGAGTGGTTTTACTTAAAACGTACAGTGATGAATATAATTCAAGAATAATTATCATTATAACTGTAAGCACTTACAAACAGAAATATTATTCATAAGAGTTGGAGATTTGGGATATGCATGAAGCATATTTTAAAGTTAGGAGTTTGAAGAGAAAGAAGAAAAAAACAATAAAGGTGGATTACACACTGAATTACTGTCTAAGTAAAAGGGCTTAAGGCTACGTTAGTAAAAGGATTGAATCAACCACTTCTGTATGTAGACACAAGTCAGGGTTCTTCTTATGTACGGAAAGAGCTACCGCTGTGGATAGAAGATATAACTGGAAACCCTTTGACCTTGTATGTCACTGAAAGATTTCTCTGTTGATGTAGAATGATGTGCAAGAATAAGGTGCTTGAGAATTAAGCTGTTGGTTCGTCTAATTTCTCCTTTAGACGACCATGTTAGGAGATGTACTTGTACAGGTCTAGGCAATATCCTACTGGTACGTCCTATGTATTTACAGCTACAGGAGTAAGTGAACTAACATATGCACCTGGATGTTGTCAATAGTGATGAATAAGAGGTTGGGTGGAAGTGAGATGTATCAATTGGATGAAAAGTATTTTTCGAACTTTTCCTGATATTGTGCTTCTAAGAATTTTAGCTTTTGTGTCACTAATGAATTTCAATTTACAACCTTGTGTTGTCCCATGTTCTGTGATAAGCATCTCTAGTTAATAGTCAGTTCCAGAAATCGATGGAATACCCCTCCACTTGGAAGTTAATAATACGCCAATTACTTGTACTCAATTGAAAACGCTGATAAATAACCTCACGTAGCCGCAGCTTTCACCATCTCAATACAACTTCAAAATAATGAGAGACTATTTTTGAACACAATGTATACGCTTAAATGTTAATATACGGATGAGTTTGGATTTCTCGTAGTTAATGACTGATTAGTGAACCATGGTAGAACTTTGAACTTGAAATCATCAGTTCGTGTTGCCTTATTTACACATACCTAGTGGGCTGAATTGGCTGACTGAGATTTTAGCGTACTTTTTTTGCATAAAAATGACCTGTTCAGTTCACCATATTCGATATAGTACACGTAGTAAAGAAAAAGAACTATGATGAGGAGAAATGTACATAAGAAAGGATAATTACATGGAGAATTATGAGCATTTGGTGGATTTGAAAGATTACAAAGAGTGAATGAAGTTGCACGATTAAGAACGATTTTTCAGACAAACTACAGTCTCATACTATTGGTTCTTCGCATCCTGACGACCCCAAACAGACCTCCATATATGACTGGCTCAAACCAAATGTCAAAAACCTCATGGATTTATGCCATGTCTTGATTGGACCATCCCTAAATCTCTTCCAGCTTAACAATACATCAGCTAACAGTGCTCAACAAGGAAGACGACAGCTTATTATGGGTGCTAACCGTCTCATCGACACAGCTTTCCGACCTAATTGGTTCCATTTTCTTCCTAACCTAATGCTTAATGCCTAACTTTAGTATTACTCACCATATTATAACAGTTAACAAGGGAGGCAAAAGGCAAACATCTGCGGTCAAAGACAACTAACCTCTCCAGACCTTCCACTTTCAATGACCACTTCTCAAAGCCATAAGGAAGGAGAGGGTGAGCAGTACATATGTCCTTTGGCTGATGACCGAATCTGAAATTACGCCAGAGATGACTCAGGTTAGCAAACGTCACACAGCCTTTTTGTATACGTGCTGAGATTTTGACAGCAACTAGTCCATTAGGTTTGATACAACTTTCCAAATAAGTGGTGGTTAACACGCTCATCCGCCTCACTCCCTATTTAAAGTAAGAGTTGGCGCAGACAAATCCTACAACCTTTTTATACATTTGATAGAGCCGAATTTCCTCTCAAGAATACCAAGATTTCTGCTCAAGGTGTTCGCAAGATTCTGCATTTTTTTCAGCGTCTTCACCTATAAAGACTATATCATCTTCATACTCTAGGTCGATCAGACTGTCACTATGCACCATGTCACTCCCTAAGTTACTTGAATCTATTAGGACCACTCCATTAGTACATCTATAGTTAAAATAAACAAAAAGGAGCATTAGAAATCCCTGAGGCACACCGCTAGTTATCATCACTTCATATGCACAAAAGATATACAATTTCGTTTCAGTAACCAACTTTATAGATAGACTCATGAAGATTAGTCGTAGGAAGTCTTTTGGGAGCCATTCCTGCTGATATATTCACAGGAAATTTAGGAAGAAACGAAATGAGACCTCCAATTGACGAGACTAGTTTTTCTGCACGTTCATGATTTGTAAAGACATGGACCACGCTTACAGATTGTTCCATAGCTTCAATTATGTTCATCGAAAAATTAGTTTCCGAATGGAACATTAACGTGAAAATCTATTTCACTTTCCGGATCTATCCGTGAGAAGACGAGATGATGGCTCGACCGAGGGAGGAATATACTACAAAGATACCTGGATCTGACACCATTGAAAATATTTTAGTTTCTGTCCGATAGAATAAAAACAGTTTATCGTCAGGACGCTGTTTGATAGAACGGCTAGACCATGCTCTGAAAACAGACTGCATGAAGAGTTGGACTTTCTTAAAAAGCAAGTGTCTGAAAACAGATTTTCAAAGAAATTCATAAGATATCTCGGGAGAGATTACAGTAATGAGAAGAACTCCATTACTGTCTAGAAGAAGCCTATTTTCATCCAACTTACCTTTAAAGGAGATGATGTGTGACATCGTATAAACAAGATACTAAGAGTTACCTTTGCTTCATCTTATCGTGTAGATGAATTTGTTTCTGTTTATGACAGTATTTGTGCACTTTGTCAGTCGAAGGTGAACAGGACAAAGCCGAGACACAAATCAACACTGGCGAAGAGGTCAGCGTCGAAAAGCACTGGAACAAATTGAAAACAGTGTGGAGCCAAACATGCATGGAAGTTCTAGGCAGAAAGAAGAGACAGGACAAACAATGGCTCACTACGGACATTTGGAGACTCATAGAAGAGAGAGGGATGGTGAAACAGAAGATTCTCCAGTGCACCGACGAGCAACAAAAACACGATTTGAATGCAAACTACAAGACACTGAACAAAAGAGTAAATAAGAGTGCCAGAGAAGACAAAAGAAAGTACTATGAAACCATGACAAGTGAGGCAGAACAATCTTCAGGCAAAGGAGACCTCGCAACACTCTACCAAACAACCAGGTACCTATCGGGCAAAAGTTTGACACAAATTAAGCTGGTGAAGGATGACAGTGGAAAGTCACTCACCAAAGAAGTGGAGCAAAGGAAACACTGGGCTGAACTCTTCAAAAGATTCCTAAATCGACCACCACCT